GATGGAAAATGTTCAAATGAATTACATTCCTTAGTTCCATCAGTCCAAACCTTCACGGCTAAAACCAGCCATGCCACGCACATTGCTGCTAATCATCATTATGTCTTTCGTATTTTTTGGTGAGATGTAAGTTCCACTCGAGCATCTTCTTCCCACGAACCACTTATGGAATCGACTCCCAAGAGGATGCTTCTCGTATCACTAGAATCTTAACCTATTCAAATCAAGGGTTAACTCCTATCTTCCGCGCATACCTGCATAAGCTGTACCTCTAACTCTGTACCCTCTCTACGCATCGTATAATACCACAACGTGGACAATGGTGTGTAATATCGTAGCTTGGTGCGTCGGAAGATGTCGCAACTTTGCCATAGTGGTCTCGAAAGGTCTTTCCTGAAATCTTCTGCCAATCTATCATCTATATACCTCCGAGGGTTTTGACCTTTAAAGGAACAACTAATCTTTTAGAGAAAGCCATGAATATAATTCTCTTTACACTTGACTCTATCAAAACGTGTACAGACTCAAGTTTCGTCACTGATCTGATCTGTTATTTATCGCTGTCAGTTTTATAAATTTATCGAACACCATCTGTCAGGCATCAAAACAGCTACCAACGATTTCACCCTCTCCAGATACAATGAAGGATCTAATGAATCCTTTTAAAATCAGTATAGAAATACTTTTCTGTTTTTGTTCCTACTAAAGTTTATTGGTCCTCATATTGGTATCTTGGCTTCAGTCACTTTCCCACCGCCGTAATGTATTTTTCCCTGTGCCTTTTCATAGCAACAGTTACGATGAACACTTCGTAGGATGTCTGGACTTTAGGAATTAAAGCGCAGAATTAGGTTCCTGCAAGCTCTCATGAATTCACTTTTGAACTCGGTAGATGTAACCGTAAGTTCTATGCTAACAGTTTCCTCTATTAGATTTCTTGCTTTTAGAACTCTCTTACAACTTCTTCTATTCTAGTCACGTTTAATCTTCAAAAATATAAATGCAATGCCAGTCGTTATCTTCTATCTTCTTAATTCCTGTTCTTTATTCTTCTCACCCCTTAATAATGTTTTTCTTTTCTTATATTCTTTCATACTCTTTAATCCACTGCATCTTAGTAACTTTATTGACTTGTTTGGGGGTGAAATGATTTAATAATCATTTAATGTAGAGCGTTACTGAATGAAGCGTGTGATATGAAATTTAGAGGACGTAGTAAATGAAGATTATGAGCATTTGGAGAATAAATAAATATTGTTCCTGGACATGAAGTAATTATGTTCTTCAACTTGGCAAACGAGAGGAAGTCTGCGCCATAAGTCGTTGGCAATAAGCTGAACAACATTATCAATGGAATACGGGGGGGAATGAGTGTGATTCAACCTTGCGAATGTGGCAAGGCAGTCCTTAGCTGTAAAGATCTGAGCGGCTGACATGCAGCTCGTCTGAACATTTGCCATCTAAGTAGAGATTAGGCATAGGCTTGCGACGTTGCATACATTGAAAGGGGACAGCAGATTGGGAAATAAGACACCCACCCACCCCCACAAAGCCATACAAATGTTTTTGAACATTTTCAAGGCTGAGAAGAGAGAATTGGTCAGCACCTGCACAGGTATGTCATCATCGAAACAATCCCCCCCCTCTCTTTTTGATCTGGTCTGACATTTATTAAAATAAACCATTACAGAAGAAATCAGAGAATTTCTGAAACAGTAAAGCAGTTTATGTTTGTTTAATGGCATATCAACTTCTTATCGGTCATTTAATGTCGAAATGTAATTTTATAACAAGCATTAGTAATTTCGTTTGCAAAAATATATTACTGGCAATTCTTATTCAAAAATGTATTGCCGGTATTTTTATTCTAAAAATGTATTTTTATATATTTTTATACACTCGGTGATTTGATCCCAGTTTGGGTTTAACTTTTTGCCCACAACTGAGACACTAACATGTGCTATCATCCCAGGATAGGTTGGATCAGGGAACAACAGCAATTAAGACGTTGTTCCATGCTCCTCAAAACCTTCAATCTCCCGATCAGAGGACTTGCTGCCGGATGTAGTTTATCTTCATGCCCAGGACAGGTAAAGCAGACGACCATTTTTCCCAGCACCTTTAGCGTTGCGTGGTATATGCACATTGTAGTGAATCACTCTCCCTCATATTCCATTGGTGAGATATAAGTTCCAATCGAGCAGTTTGTTTTTCCCCATGAACTGCTGTTCTTTAGAACCTACTCCCAAGAGTAAAACATAATATAGATGGAAGATACAACATTGATAGCTGACATGGAAACAAGAAAAAGTCCTGCAAGAAAGGTAGCAGAGGAAAACGAGAAGAAAGGACTAAATACGAATTGTAAATGGACAGAAGATACGGTTTTCCGAAAAAGGGACATAGCAAGATGTGAAATAGAAATTGTAAAGACCAAATCAAGCAAGTATTAAAATTGAAACTACCTTGGAAGAGTTTTTATTAAAGGACAGAAAATGTGCCACCGATATTCGACAACGTGTTGAAATAGCGAATGACGCCTTCTGAAATCTACACAAAGTATGACGAAATTTAATTACAAAGAAAAGAGTGCTGAATTTTTATGTAATATCGGTCCTCGTGTATGGCAGTCAATGCTGGTCAATCTCCTCGCATATGAAGAAATGACATGAGACAACACAAATGTGATTCTACAAAAGGACACTGAGAATCCCATCGACTGAACATGTGAGAAAAGAGAAACTTTTAAGGGAAAATGGACACTTATATTTAGAATCAGAAAGAGAAAGAATTTCTAGGACATATAATGAGAAAAGGTGGCTTGGAGAATTTGACACTCACAGGATATATAGCAAGAGGAACAAACAGCAAGTAACAAGTTAACACGCTTGTGTAAATGGATGGAAGAACAAAGGACAGGAAGTTGTAGAGAGTAAATATCGCTCATTTCCTTATGGGAGACGGCACGTAGAAGATTTGATTTTTGGTTTTTTACGGCTCATCAAACATTTGTAGGTTATTTAAAAACAGAAAATATTTTCAAATTGTAAGAACGTTTGGAGATAAGGATTTGCTAATAATTAACCGATAACTGGGGGGGGGCTGAAAAAAAGGTGGTTTCGTAACGTTCGCAAGGATATTTGCACGTAAGTGAATATAACGAACCCAAAGAGGATTGGAACTCGACAGTCCGGTTTCCAATTCCAAATAGTTATCTATTACACCACTCGCAAATACAAACTTCCGGCACCTGGTATTCCCATATAAAAGAAAGTATGAAATGACTCTTGAAGCACTTAGGAAAGAAAGAAGCCCTAAACGAAATAGAATTTTCTTCACTTTTGGAATTTGCATTTTAAATCTATTTAATAAATGGTTGATATATTCTACTAAGAAAAGGCAGTTGAGTTCCTGTCACTTTTTGTAACTGACGTCATTGTAACACAGAATAGGCCAAGGCCGAGTTTTAAAATTGAAAAACAAATAGCAGTTTTGCGTGATCTTCATTAAGGCAAGATTTATAGTCGTAAACGCTAAATAATTAAATATTTCTAAAATATTTACATTAATTGCATCCAAGAATGTCTTCATATATACCGAAACAGAAAAAGGTAAGTTATTTTTTAAATCCTTTGGCTATCATATTTAATCAAAATGATATTAATACACAAACACACACAAACACACATAAACACACACATATATACATCAGCTAGTCACTCGTATTTGAGATGCCGTCTACCAACGCGGTTAGTCAATCCCTATTGCAAACAAATACAATAAACACAAAATAAACACAAAATAAACACAAATGCGCCCCCACAGAGCCCACCTGTGGTTTCTACTGCAACTATGCTGAGCAGACCTTAGTTACAGTTTCTGGGAGAGAGCGTTTTATCTAGCGTGATAACAATTTGAACAATGCCAGCCAAAACGACATGTGACTTCATGCCAGCACACCAAACGTCGGCCCCAAAGAGTTACGGCTACCCATTTTCACTCAAAAGATCAACCCGTCGTATCGTTTTCAGGCACTTTCCAAAGGTACCGCACGCTGGGATCGACTCCTCCAGTCCGATAACATCAGGATATATATATATATATATATATATATATATATATATATATATATATATATATATATATGTGTGTATATATATGAGTGTTTGTTTGGGAGTTTTGTGTTTAAATTATAAATTGTTTTCCATTCTACCCTTCGAACTGACGCACACGATCACTCTTCGAAACCACTTCAATATACTGATTTATAGAATTTGGAATTAATGTCTAGTAGTATAGTAGAAAGCGTTAGTTCCCAAAAATTCTTCTCTAATTCGTTCATTGCATCCCAAAATATAATCTTTTATAAGTCGAAAAAAAATTGTATATTTTTCTGGCGTATTTGATCAAACTTGTATTATATATATATATATATATATATATATATATATATATATATATATATATATATATATATATATATATATGGTATATATTATTTAGCATAATGCCTGTGCATGCCTATCTGCACGATGTTAAAAAAAATTGCTTGCGAAGTGTACTATAAATGTCCGTACAGAATTCTCTTAACACGCTCTTTTCAAAATTGCTCATACATTTGAGCAGCCATCTTGTACAAATTGTTATTCAAATATCTTTCCAAACACTGACATTAATTTGTTGAGGAAATGTAGAAACTTTCAAAAAAAAAAAAAGAAATGGATTATTGTATCACAATGCAAACTGTAATATTTATGTGTGTGTGTCTTTGTCAATGGAATCATTCGTGACTGTGTTTATTGACAAATATATCGGTAGATGTCTTTAGAAATACTTTCACACTTGTAAAACTGTAAATTTCTACTTCTTTTCAAAAGTCCAGTATGAATGAACAATCGTTCGAATAAATATAGGGGAAAGTTTTTCCCTCCCAGAAAAGTTGTGGTAGTTTTGCGAAATTTTCTGCTTTTTCGTAATGGCCTCCGAAGCACTACAATAAAATGGCGGGAAATAAAAAAGTAGTAGGAATTGGTGGGGAGAAAATCAATATCGAGAGACGCCATTTTAACGAGCGATGCAGACAAAATTGCTTCCAATTTATTTCGTTCGTTTTATCGATCCTTCTTTCTTTCTTCCTTTATTCATCATTTAAAACTTTTCAGAACTACCACCATTTTTTTTTCTTTTCTTTCTTCCTAATTTTTCGTTTTTATTTTGTAAAAAAAGTCTTTCTTTCAAATTCCTTTGTTTTTTTTTCCTTTGGTCGGTCAGCTTCTTCATATTTTATTCTCTTCGCGTCTCGTTTTATAATTTCCTCTTTTCTTTCCATTCTTAACCGCTTCCTTCCTCTGTTTCATTTCTTACCTGTATTCCTTCCCTCATTTCTTTTCCATTTTTTCTTTCTATTTTCTCCCTGTTCTCCTCTTCCCTTTATTTTTCCTTCCCTTCTTTTATCATCTTCCTACCTTCCTTCCTTCTTTATTTTCTCCATTCTTTGCTCTTTTTTCTTTCCTGTCTTACGTCTTTCTTTCTTTCTTTTCCTCTCTATACTTTCATTCATTCTTCTTTCGCTCTTACTTTTTTCCTTTCCTCTGCCTCTCTCTTCCTTTTTTTATGATTTCTGATCTTTCCTTTTTACTCATTCACTTTTTTCTTTCATTTTCTTTCCTTTTCCTTCATTCTTTACTTTGTCCTTTCTTCTTTTTCCTCTTCCTCTGTTGCTTTCTTCCTCCCACTCTTTTCTTTCATACATACTCTCCTGTCTATTTTCTTTCATTGTTCCTTTTTCTCTCACTTTTCTTCCTTCCTTTACTATCCTCCTTCCTATTTCTTTTCTTTTCTTCCTCTTTCCGTTATACCTCCTTTTCTCTCTTACATTTCTGTCTTTTCTTTTTAAACACTTCTGACTTTTTAACGCTTCGATCTCACCTACACTTTTCTTCCAGGTGCCCTTTCTACTTTCATTTTGTCACTAATTTTCTTCATTTTTTTCTTTCTTTCTTTCCTAAAATGAACATTTTCCCCTTCCTTTCTACATTTAAAGACTCCCTTCTTATTTCATTTCTCCCCTTCTCGCTTCATTTTTTTTTTACTTTCCTTCTTCTGTTACTGTCAGTGTTTCTTTTTCTTTTAAATCGCTCATCTTTTTCTTCCATTTTCACTTTCTGCTTTCATTTTCCATAATTTTTTTTCTTTCGTTCTTTCTTTTTTCTCCTCTTTCTTTCTTTCTTTCTTTCTTTCTTTCTTTCTTTCCTTCTCTTTTTCTTTCGCTTTATCTTTCATTATTTTTCATTTCTTCCTTTCTTTTTTTCTAGCTCTTTCTTTCTTTCCTTCTTTCTTTTTCTTCTTTCTTTCTTTTCTGTTTTTCCTTAATTGTGATATTCATTTTCCTTCATTGTATTTTAGTCCTTTTTATTTCTCTATTCTTTTCAAAAGTGCACGGGTATAAAAGCTACTCATATCTTCCATTACGTGTGATGTCGGTTCTTGATTTGACGCGAAGATGGTGTAAATTTCCTATGAATATCGTGTATAGTTCTACCCCGATTTAAAAAAAAATAAAATCAACAATAATAACGCACGTTTCATTTATTTTTTGAGCTTTATGAGGAGGTACAGATTGAGCAATCGGGTTGAGGAATTAGAGACCCGAGTTCGAATTCCAGTTCAATCCATTACATTCACTTACGTGTTAATAACCTTGAATATGAATACCAGCTATTGGAAAATACCAGGACAGACCGGGTTCTATAGCTTTGGATGGCAACTGGTCTACCGCAGAAAGAAATGACAATCTACTGCGGTAAAAATCTACCTCGTCAGTCATATATCGAAAAATACATGACCGCCTAAGCGTGTATCACGCATGGCGCATACGTATGGCACATAACTGACTGTCGATTAGCCCGAGTGTCTGTATCTACCTGGCTGGAGAAAGAGACAAGCGACGCAGCGATGAATAGGACTTGAACATGGAAAACAGAATAAGAACGATCTACCCATCGTGTATGTAATAAAAGGTTCCGGTCGAAATTCCAATAGTACAAAGACAGATACCTGAAGAGGGCCCCAGTGTACAGCGGTCGAAACGCTGTGACCGTATCAGAAAAAAAGGAGCATGTATCGTAGACTTTACACATCGTAGCGGACCAAAGAAAATAATAATACTTCTATGTGCCATATTCCTTCAAAATGTTGGCGATCATGGATCTTCATAATTTCCTGCCTTTTGTAGCTTTTACTAATTTTTTTTTCATTTTGCCCTCTCTCTCAAACTCTTCTCAACCAACCATTTACTCAAGCTTGCCAAGTAAGTTATGCTTTGATTTCCTCTGTCACTTTTACCTTCAATCTGTTCTGTGAGTATCAAATTTTCCAAGTCATTTTTTCCTCGTTATGTGCTTCAGAAATTTCAACAGTCTGTTCCTGGCATTAATGATACGTATTCATTTTGTTTCCATTATCTCTGAAACTTCGTTGTTGCTCACATGTTCAGTGCATGGCATACTCAGCATCCTTCTGTAGAATCACATTTCTGTTGCTTCAAGCATCTTCTTCATCTGCTATACAGGAAGAAAGCTATCACGTAAGAGTTCTCTTTTTTTGTTTTATAACGATATTTTTTTTTTGTTTCTTAATATTTGAGACTTGCGACTCGTATTTGGAAATCGGTGGCTTCTCCTTCCATTTTTTTCTTCTTCTTTCATGTGCCATTTCATTTAGGACGTCGAGGATAATGGCTCTCTATAACATCCTATCTTTTGTAGCTCTAAGCAATATATATCGCCATAATATTCCCCTCAGTCCTTGTTATACCAGACATTTACACCAACCAGTTATATAGATTACTTGCTGCTTCACCTTCAGTATGTCCCATGAGTGTCAAATTCACCAAACCCTTTTTCCTCAGCATGGGCCCCAGAAATGACAACTCCTTTTCATCCTAAGTTTCGTTTCGTTTTTATTCTCCTGAAAACTTCGTTACACAAATGTTACGTCCATAGTAATCTCCGTATTTATCTCTGTAAAATTAGATCCCCTTACATATCCAAAATCCACAACAATTAATGAGTATTGCTATTACATAGAAGATCAGCACTTTTGTTTCTAATGAACTTTTCCAGTTTCTTCATATTTTGTTTAGTTTCTGGAAGACATCTTTCACTGATCCAATACATCTTCGGATTCCTGCATCATATTTTCCATAGTCTATTATAATGCTTCCCAGACCGTTAATTCCTGTACGTAATTCATTTTGAAATCTCCAATTTTTAGCTAGCATCTTGGACTGTCCCACTCGCTAATAACTATATATTACTCTAGGTTGGGTGATATGCTTTAGCGACATATCAACCTCTATTAAAAAACAGAATCTTTGCAAAGGTTCCACAAATGAAGCATTCTAATAATCATTAAGCTATCAAAATCGTTCTCTTAATGAAGATTTAAAATGAAGTGCTATTATAGGTTTGAAGATATACTCCATATCTGACTCCAATCATATGGATAAACTAATAATATTTTCTGTCGACGCTTCCCATATACGAATTCACTAATGTTACTCAGATTTTCTGGCCTTCAGCTTGTGATAAATGCTCGATGTGCCAATCCGAAACCTTTGTTCGATTTCACAAAAAGTTAAACTCATCTCGTGACTTTGCCTGATACTTGGTAGTAGACTTATTGAACTTCAAACACAACTTGACGAAGACATATTGTGCAAATTTATCGTAAAGATTGCAGAGCTGTTCCAAGACAACCATTACAAAAACTTTTAGTTTCTTTTTTCAAAAAAAAAAAGAAAAACTTCGTTAAAAAAAGAAAAGAGTTCTGAACTTTTACGTGATATCTGTCTTCCTATATAACAGCGAATTCTGGACCATCTCCTCAAAGATGAAGAACGAACTTGAAGCAATAGAAATATTGTTCTATAGAAGGGTGCCGACGATGGACTGATTATTTGGACAACGAGGAATTTAAAAAAAAATAGAAACATAAAGGAAACTTATACATAACATCAGAAACTGATAGTTTACATTTCTATGATAAATGATGAGAAAAAATAATTTTGAAAATCTGATACTCACAGAAGAGATTGAAGGGAAAAGGGATTATGGGAAAAACAACATATCAACTTCTTAGTGCAAATAGATGGCGTAACAGGGTTTAGGAGAAATAACAAAAAGACATTTGTTAAGAGCTACGAAGAAAGGAAATTGTGGAGAGTCATGAATGCCTACATCCTGAAGGGACACGTCACATAAAGAAGATTTACAAAGTTTTATATCTAAACTGTTTTCTAAGAGTAACATATATATATCCTGTTCGAATCTCAGAGTTGCTCCTAACACATTCTACCACAGGTGTAATGTTCACCTGTCGTAATCCAGTTTTTGTCAAATACACAAACAGACATTTCTTCAATTCATCCTGCTTTTCTATGCTTAACTTCCTCTTCCATTAAAAATCGTTCTCTTTTCTTTAAAATACATTAACATAAGTATAGAAGATATTTCTTTTTTCCGTCTTCATTTTTCTACTTGAGAGATTCTTTTCCTCGTTCATGACTCTCCACATCATTCAAAGCACCGACGTAATTCTTTTGTGTTTATTATTTCATTTCATTTGATCTTCATTAAAGTTTCTTTACGTCATTCCTAACCCCTTTCTTTATTTATTTAATCCTTTCTTTTTTTCCTTTCTTTCTTTTTGATTTCGCTCGAAAAGGTAAATTTTTCATCTTTACCTTCAATAATGCATTCTTCCTTCTCCTTCTCTTTCCTTCTATTTCGTGTCTTTTCTCTTTCCTTTTCTTTCAACATTTATTTCGAGTTTTTATTTTTTATAGATTATATCTTTGCTTTACTTTTTTCCTGCTTTTATTATTACTAATTGTTCTTTCTTTCTTTTTTTCATTTCACATATATTTATTATTTCTTTCTTTCCTTATCTTCTTTCTTATCTCTTTTTTTTCTTTCTTTGTTATTTATTTATTTATCTATTTGTTTATTCCTCTTCTTTATGTTTTTAATTTGCCATTTTCTATGCTTTTTTCATTATTTAATTCTTTAATAGATTTTTTCCTCAATATTTTTAATGTATTTTTCACCCTTACACATATTTCTTAAAATATACTTTTCTCATTTTTTATTGATCATTTTTTTTTAAATATTTTTATTTTTAAAAATATTTTTATTTAGTGCTTTTTAGTAACATTTTAGATTATTTTATATATTTTCTTTCTTTTTCTCATTCTTAAATATTTTTCTTTCTTCCAAACCTTGCTTTTCAGTTAAATGTATATAACCTAGATTTTGTCTTTTTTAAAATATATTTTCTTTCTTCAAATATTCTCTTTCTTTTTCCTAAAATATTCTTGCTACATTTCTTGCTTAAAATATTTGTTAATCATTCTTAAAATATTTTTCTTTATATTTTCCAGTCATAAAATCGTCTTTATTTCTTTCTGAAACAATTTTCTTTCTCAAAACACACTTTCTATAAGTATTCTCCTTGAACATATTACTTAAAAGATGCCTTTCGTAAAATATTTTTCTTTGTTTATTAAAATATTTTTCTTTTTCATAAAATATTTTTTTACTTAAATTATATTTGAGTCTTACAT